GAGCTAAATTTGGGGTCTTAATCTTCAAGTTAATCATGCAGCTATCGAGCCAATGCTCATCTCTTCTTCTCCTCTTCATCTTCTTCATTTCCTTTTGGGTCACCGTTTCTTTGGGGAGGGATGGGAGATGAGGGTCCTCCCTGTGTTGTGTGGATGTGTGAGTGAGTCATTGAACTTCATTCTTTCTGATGCAATTAAAGCAGCGGCCTTTAATCAGATAAGCAGCCATCTTGATTGGATTTGCTGGGTTTAGAATGCAGCTCTCTCTCTCTCTCTCTCTCTCTCTCTCTCTGTCTCTGTCTCTGTCTCTCTCTCTCCCTTTCTTCCTCTATCTCCTTTCTGATTTGGACCGGTCCATCAAGGAGCAGCTGAGAGTTGGACTGGATGAGTTCATTCAGAAAGAAACAAGATCAGAAGGTCAAAAGAACCAGGATGATCAAGGCTAATTTGAGGAGGCAGAGTTGGGATGCTGACAAGGGGGTTTGGAGTGGGAGGCAGCGAGGACGAATGAGAGGGTCTGGAGATGAGGGTGTGGGAGATGGTATGAGGGGAAGAAGTAGGATATCAGAGGAGGCATGCATGAGGTTGTGTAACTTGTTTTGATTAGGAGGTAGGCATTGGGGTATGTTAAGTAAAGGTCCGAGGTGTGGGAGGTAGTGAGGGTGATGGTGGGGAAGGGGCGGGGGGGGGGGGGGGGGGTAAGATATGGTATAAGGGGGAGATGGTAGGCTGGAGGAGTATTAAGTGGGAGGTTTTTTGTCGTGGAGGATGCATTAGATGGGGATGTGCATGGGAGGTAAGATAGCGAAGGGAGCCGGTCTGGAGGACGGAGGGAGTACCTAGAGAAAGGACTTTGATGGTTTTGGAGTGAATAGCTTAAGTATAGATTAAACAAACATGAATTAATGAATGAAAATAAGAATAACAGATGTTGGCATTTTTGCATTTAAGTCATGTAGAAAGCATAAGTATTAAATGTGGAAATTTAAATGTTTGTGATAAGAATCTGTCAAAGATGAAGAAAGAGTGCCAGCAGAAATATTGAAAAGAAATCTAGATTAATTATTTTTTATATTTTAAGAAATTTAGCTTTCATGAGGGTATGAAAAATTGATTTACAAAAAAAAAATTCTCCAAAAAAGAAATGGAAGAATCATTATACAGATAAGCAAGTATTTGTTCAGTATGGAATTTCTTTGAGAAAAAAATATCTAGGTACTCCCCAGAGCTTTGTCTTCTAAGAACTTTAACATGAAAGAACATGTTTGTTGAATGATTTAACATTTAATCATCTTGGTCTGCCATGTGTGTCTTGACCGGTGTGTCTTGGAAAGAAAAAACAACACTTTGCATTTGCTTGACATGATACCCATACAAAAGCAAGATAATCCATAGTTTTTCAATTTTAAAACAAATTCCAAATGCTTTTTGTTTCAGACTCAATTGAATAAGTTGACAGTTGCATTAGGTACTAGCCATGTATCTTTAATATGATCTAGAGAGGAGCAGTCAATATTACGAAAGATTTCCAACATGTTTCAAAGCTTGATATAAACTATCTTTGAATATAAATAGGGTTGGGAATTTAAAAAGAGGTCGGTATCAAATGTGAAGATGATGAAGCATATTCATTTCAATGTCACCTTGTTCTTCTACCAAAGAAGATAACAAGTCATAAAATGCCAATGTATTAAAGGTAATAACAAAAGAGTTTTCAGATGAATGCTATTGCAATTTCGGAGGGGTGATCTAGAACGTGTAGATGCAAACTGCCAATAAGCTACCCCTTTTTCAATGCCTTTTCAAGTGCCGCCTACACAGACTGCTGCAACGAGTCGTTTCATCATGATGCGACGCCAGAGATGTGACAATATTGCGGCTTGTAATTTTCCTTGTATGACTCTTGCGGAGGAGGGCTGATATTGTAGAGAAATCTTTTCCATTTAAAGACCAGTAAACTAGATCAGTGGACAATTCCTGATGGAGATGTTTGTCATGAAGCGAAGAGAAACATTTGGTTCTTTCGGTAGAGGAGGATTGCATAAGGTGTTGGCTGTATGTAGGTCCACAGGTCATATCTTTCTTCAAAGGACCTTACAAATGGTAGCAGAGATAAGGCTGTGGTGTGGGCGAAGATACATTACAGTGGAATATGGAGAGGGAGAAAATGATGGGAGGGATATGGAAGGAGGAGGAGAAAGTGGGAAGGGGGTGTGGAGAAGGAGGATAAGGAAACGGAGCAGGAGGAGAAAGAGGGGGGGGGGGCAGGGGGCAAGATGATAGATTTAGAGCTAACTTGACAGTTTGGGTGACAAAGAGCTAGAGGAAAAGAGAGGGAGAAACGAAAAGTGAAAGTGAATGTGAGAGAAAGGGAAAATATAAGAGGATAAAATAAATGAAAAAAGAGAAAGAGAGAGATAGAGAAAAAGAAAGAATGGACAGACAGATAGGGAAGAAAGACAGAAAGTTATACTATATGAAGGACAGGTGAAGGACGGAGAGAAAAAGAGCTGAATTTTGTTTATGAAATAGAAAGAACAAAAGGGGAAGAGGGGTGTGGGCTGGGCAATAAATAGAACAACAGAAGAGAAAGTTAATCGAGGTTCTTTTCCTTCATACAGTGTAAGAAAAATGACGTAAGGGTGTGTGTAGGTGTATGTCGGCTTGCATCACATGGACTAGAGCCTCGTAGCCCCGGCCATCCAGGGTTGCATTGCAGAGCGGTTTGACTCCGGCGCACTTCTTTACCGCATCACGCTGAATAGAGTTACGAGTGGGTGTAGTCCCATGAATTATGCGCGGCGTCTGCTAGCGTGTGGAGCGTGAGCAAGCCTTGCAAGCATGCATGCTCACCCCGTAGTGAAAAAGAGCACTTTGTTTATTCATATATGTTCTCTGGAAAGCCTGTAACGAGGCCATCATCGTTTCCTCCCTTTTGATGGGGGAGGGGGGGGGGGAGGGGGGGAGGGGTTATACCAGTTGAAGTGAGCAAACAAGACATCATGGCTTTCATGTTGTGATGAGATTTGCCTGAATTTTAAAGGTTCAACATTATTATTGACATTGTCATCAAAGTAGTAATATTTTAACCTTTTTAAACATAGGATGTAAGAAAAATGACCTACAAACTGTCATGAAATGTTATTATATATTACAATGTTTCATTTATAATAGGAAAAAATACTTGTTCATATTCTATGAGAATATTCTATTTGTACGAATATATCAAGTCATGAATATTTTATTGATATTGGAGTCATTTTTAAGGAATTTTATCAGACTGCATCAACACATATGATATTGCTCCCCATAACATTTTGAACTGATTTGCCTACATTAATTAAGAAAAAAAAACCTAGGTACTTCCTTTAGAGGTAATATTTTATGTGTAGAAAAAAATGTCAAAACGTCTCTTTGGTTGTGTAGCCTAGTTATTTGTCCTTTAGATATGTATGTTAAAATGAGTAAATTTTAAGAATCTGGTTAATTCAATCAATAAAATTCATTTTCACTACCATTGCCCAGTGCTATCTGCAGTAGATTTGAACTTATTATTATTTCTGTCCATGCACCTGTTTGCTGCTCTGCTGCTGTGCACAGGAGCAATAGTTTTTATGAAGTGAGAAAAAAGTTTCTTACCACCAGTGTACTTATTCCTTTGTCTGCTTTGGCCAACTAATGGAACACAAAATGAACTGCCACAGTTTGCTTTTGTCGCACAATGTGTATGCAACGTATACACTCAAAACAATGCAGGTAACCCTTTGCCTGCTTTGTCCACCTAACAGAAAACAGAGTGGAATGCCGCTGTTGACTTTTGTTGCACAATGTGTATGTAACATACACACTGAAAAATGTGACAGTCAGGGGTTTCAGTCTGCTTCAAATAAAGATTTTTAAGTCACGAGTGCTTTTCATACAAGTTTACTCTATAAGTACTGGTACTTCTTTTCCTATTTGATGAGCAAAAGCGATGTGTTTGTATATTTACAAGTGATTGAGATCAAAGTATGGGCATATCTTTACAAAGATAGAGATATAGATAGAATACCGTACATCCCAAAAGTTTTATAGATCAAGAGAGATAGAAGCAGAATATATATTACTATCATCTTGATGTAGGCCTGCAGTCAACAGTTGGGAACAATCACCAGAGAGAAACGGTTGAATGAAATTTAAAAAAAGTAATGTAGTACCTTTCCTAGAGTTTCATCCTACTCTGATCGTAATTGGTTCAATAGATAATTGATCTGCTGATTGATTTACTGACCGACCGCCCGATTGACCGACCGACTTACCGACCAACCATCCAACTGTCCGACTGATTAATTAGCAGGTCGGTAGGTCGGTCATTTGGTTAGTCGGTCAGTAGGTCAATTGTTATTGATAGCATGGTTGGTTTTTGCTCAAAGAGATGTAATTGAGACATTCATTCTCTTTTTTTTTTGCATGACTCATCGATATACAAGTTTAACCCTTTAAAGATGCCTACACCAGATGCCTTACCTATGTCGTTCATTTTTCAAAAACTATCTAACTGAATTTGTTCATTTATATGAGCCTATGATCTGTTCATGATGGTGAATGGATGCATCCTACATCAGAGTTAGAAGCTTTCATATATTTCATTTGTCCAGCTTTTCAGAGTGACCACGTTTTCACCCCAAATAAAATGTGAGACAACTTCTCAATCACATAGCCCTTTTTTAGTAGAACCATCATACATTTTTCTTTCACAATATATGTACCATTTTAAACTTCAAGAATATAATTTCAAGACTTTCGCTGTCCATGTGTAGTACATACATTGTATCCAGAATGAAGGTATAGTGTAGATTGATTGCTTGTGGCAATGAAGAAGTTGAGTACTCCATATTTGTCATAACTTCACCCATTGCCTACGGAAACCTGTAATTCGTGTATTAAGCCTATGGGAATGAAAGAATTTGGTAGTCAAAAGGTTAATGTGGTCATGGTTGTTTACCTTAACTCCAACACACATATCAGAGTTGCTCCAAGGCATCGTGCACTAGGAAATCTTGCTCACATTCTGCAGAAGACAACGAATGCCATGTCAATGCCAAGAAGAGGAGGATATGCCATGCATTAAAGTAAGTTGCAACACACACACACACTCTCTCTCTCTCTCTCTCTCTCTCTCATTCTCTTCTCTATCTCTATCTTTATTTCAGTCTTTTTGTCTTCTTTTCTGTGTTTTTCTCAGTTTTGTTTGTACATCTGTGGGTTTTCTCCCTCCCTCCCTTCCCTCTCTCTCTCTCTCTCTCTCTCTTTCTCTCTCTTTCTCTTTCTCTCTCTCTTTCACTCTCTCTCTTTATATATACCCATATCTATCTCCCCCTCTCTTTTTGTCTCCAAAAACTAATTTCAAAGATTTTATCTCAGTAACTGCATCCTCTCAAAAGATGTGTAACCTATATGAATACATTGTCTCTATGTTAGAAAATATGAATTTACACCCTTTTGCCTCTCAGGAGATAATATTGCATTTTTATTTTAAAATTAATTGGGTAGAGAGGTTTTCTCTTTAAGCTAAGAATTAAGGAATTTGTCCCTGTCACAACACTTTCTCTTTAGGAGAGTCGTCAATGAATTGTTTACGCATGAGAAGAAAATTATCTTATTCCACGACGATTGATTACCGATGTTGGTTTGTTTTATTGCTTTCTACGACTGAGGGTAATCGTTGTTTGTGGAGTTGATGAGAGTCATTAATTCTGTGATGACATTAGGCCAATGAAAGCTCCTAATTGTGATTAATTGCTGGAGAGGCTTGTTCACTTGAAGTGATCGGTGGTTGGAGAGGTTTAGAAGTTGGTATGGAGACGGCAAAATTGAGGTCATGAGTCTAAAGTGATGGGAGTAATGATAATTTTTTTCATATGACATTCTAGTATGAGGGCAAGGTTGATAGTGAAGTGGTTTTATTTGTGTGAGATTTGATAAATCTAAATAATTACATGAACCTTGAAAACAGTGAATGGAAGGAGGATGATTGAAAGTAGGTTAAAATGAGAAAAAAAGGTCGTAGATGAAGTTGAGAAGACAGGAACTAATACAATCAAAAGGTATTCTTGTAGGATTGTACATTGATAGTAATTGAGAGACAAAGAGGAGAGGAGATAAAAGAAACAGAGAGAGGAAGGGGAAGAGGGAGAGAGAGAGAGGAAGAGAGTGGGAGAGTGAGAAGGAGGGAGAGAAGAAAGAAGAGAAAACTGCTATTGAAGCTCTTCATATAAGAAGAAAAGTATCTCAGAAAATGATGAAGTGGGTCATTTATTCACCTTGTAGGAAGGTACACTTACTTATTTTAGAATAAAGATAGAATTTACAATTTCCAGCTCCTTCTCCTGCCCTGACATGGCCAGCTCTGGATAGCAATTGCTACAGCAGAAAGACGTGTATTAGTCAATTGGTACCCTTCAATCATAAGGTACAAAGGGAGAAACATCTTGTCATTGAAATAAAGTTAGAAAGTGAGGCGGAAAGAGAACGGGGGGACAGTGACGGATAAAATGAGAAACAAATTACAAGCTCTGATGAATAAGTAAGTACCTGCATCACGAAGAGTATTTAATGGATCCTCTGTTTGGGCCAGAGTGTTCCTTTGCTAATTAAAACCAAATGCCATTGGCATCGGCATGTTTGCAGTGCAAATACATCCAGTCTCCTTTTTACGCAGAAAAACTGATGCTGCAATTAGCAGAAATTTGTGGAACCGCGGGGGTTTCGCGTCATTTCAGCGTTGCCTGCGTGTGACTGCAAACAACTCACTGGGGAGCTTGCTTGTGGTTTGTTTGTCGTGAATTGAAGTTGTTTTTCTGTTTGATTGGAACGATCTATACAATGTTTTTAAAATTTCCAAATAGAATTCTTATTTTTCCTAGAATAGAATAGATTCTAGATTCTTTCTTTGAGCTCTCTAATTGCAATTTCCTTAAATGCAGATCCTCAAATTTGTTTTATTGAATTAGTAAGAATAATACATTCTGATCAAAAATAAGTTTTGATTCTTAGAAGTATTTACAAAAGCGTTCCTTCTCAATTTCAACTGAGGTTTTGATCATTAACACTAAATATATATAAAAAAAAAAAGAATTTATGGGATAAAAGAAATATATACCAAAGAAATGCCAAATTCAGACTGAATATTATTAACTTTCAGTGCTTAAGCACTTTTGTTATTTATGTCTTCATACACATATATGTTTCAGTTGCTAGTTATTGTGGGCAATTGAAAATAGTAAGTTAAAGTTAGTAGTGCATGAGGAAAAATACAGCCCAGAGGATCCTAATCATCATATTCTGAAAAAAGGGATCTTTTTGTTGAAAAATTATATTAAATGCTGTAAAAAATAGACACTAATCATTAGTACTTGCCCAGTTGTCTTTGTTAACTGTACACACATAAGCAACCAGCTTGGCACCGATGTTAACCACTGGCTTGTTCTAATTTCGATTCTTTATGGCAAATGGCATCTTTTTATTATTAACATGAAAGTTAAGATAGTTATGTGAATACCACCCCTGCAACTGCATGCAGAAAATGGGTTAAAGCATGGAGCCTGTCCACCCACCCAGTCAACCCACTCTCTGGTTGGATTCTTAGAGACACACATCCATAATAAAAAAAAGAACAGAGAGGAAAAAAAGAAGTTTGAGAAACTGGATCAAAATCTCCCAAGTGACGCACAAATTAAATGTTTGATTGGCTGTCTGTCGTGGAAGATGTAGTCGAGTAGCATGTCTCCTCCAGCGCCCGCCAAGAAAGCAGACATCTTGTGTGCAAAGATGTTAAATGGCCATAGATTATCGTGTAAAGTAAGACGAGGTCAGCGTTTGTGTGTAGGAGAGGGGTTGCATTGTTGACCCGATTCCACATGCTTATGTTCTAATTCTCGGTATATGTCTCGCCATGCCAGCAACCTTTTTCTCTGTCTTTCTTGCCGTCTCTGTTGATGTTTCTCTCACAATAGTTTTACTTTTCAATTGCACTCTCTCTCTCAGCAGCCCTTTTTTCCATTTGTCCTCTTTAGGTTATGTTTCTGGTGTGTCTTTCTTCTGCTTTCTCTCTAAATGTCACCTATTAAGTTTCTAAAAACATTTTTCAATTTTTCAATTCGAGTTTCTCTTTCTCTTCACTTTTCTGTTTATAACTTCAAAGTTTCTATTATCTTTAGGTACTTTCTCTTCCCTACCCCCTCTTTCTCTCTCACTCTCTCATTCTCTTTCTCTCTCAGTTGCCCAGCCCATAGAGCCTCCTTATCTCATCAGAATCTAATTTGTCCAACACATTAAATCAATGTTGAGAAATGAATTACTTTTTGTTCACAACAAAATGAAATAAATATTTAGAATGATTTTAAGTATTCACCTATGACATTCATTTTCATTTAAAACACTAAATGTTACCTTTTTTAAGAAATGGAGGAATTTCAGTACATCTAATGAAGATATGAACTCATTGAAATATTTTGTTGTTGTACCTCATTCGTTTAAAGGATCATTCAAAACTGTGCTGAAGGAGAGGAGAAGAAATGCACACGACATTACAATATCCATTTTGATTAGTAAAAAGGAGCTATACTTTATCATAGTTAGCTCTATAAGTACCTTTGTAAAATAGCCATTTACAGTTTAAAATTTTATATCACTAAACTTAAAACTATTATGCTCCCAGTAAAGCATATGAGAAGATGAATTTTCAATCATATTAAGGTTTCCTCCTTAGTACTTCAGAATGAGAGAAGAAGACTTGGAACAAGAGAAGTATGCTGTCGTACGTGCAAGCATGGTGATATGTGCTCCTGATGCATTGTTGGAAGTCCTTGAAATTAAATCTCTGATGTAATAACTCATAGTTCTCTTGTTTAGTAGAAACAATGTACCCCGGGGGTGGAGGGATCCTTTTCCTTTTGTAAAACCATTCCAAGCAAAGGGAAATCACAGAAAGCATCTTCCTTATCTGATCCTGAGTGCGGCGAGAGTGGGTACCTTGCTCCCTCCGTCTGTATATGGTGGTGTCAAAGAGAAAATAGAGAGGGAAAGGCCAAGGGATCCCCTTCATCTGTAATCTATCACTAGCTCGCCCAGCCTCCTTATCTTTATCTGCCCCCAAGTCATTTTATCATCATCGTCCGTCGCAGCTCCTCTCGTTCTCTTCCAGACCCCCCCCCCCAAACAAAAAAAAAGAAGATCCAGGGACATCCAGGGAAAGCTGAAATTGTAGTAGTCTGTATGCATAGTCTGTTTCTAGAATACCAATTGTTGTGAGCTAGAAGGGCAAGATATTGTATCAAACTATGGGTGCCTTGGTGCAGCTTCTTTATGAAGGAGTTAATACCTTTCTTGCTATCAGCAGAAAGTCTCTTCCAACTTAGCATTTTCTTCACTTTGTTTAAAAAAAAGAAGGACATCCATTTCTTGGCTTTGAATAGTAATATTGATTTGCTTGTGTCTGTTTGAAATCGATAGAAATCATTGAATTATTGAGTTGAAAGATAAGGAACATGAATGAGTAGCAACTACTAAAGTAAAAAATCTGAGGGGATATGAACAATTTTCATGATGCTTACAATAATACTAATAAAACATGAAATGTTAAGCATTTATGATAAATTTGTGATACGTAATTTTGTCTGAATATACATATGTAGTACTATCCAAAAATAAGCCAGTTCCATTGTAAAGAATGCTGGATAAAGTGAAAGAGAGTGAAAAGAAAAAGACAGAAAGTTACCCATAAATAGTTTACACAGCATTTCTGTACACAAATAACAGAAAGTACCAGTAAATTAGCACTATTATGTAACATGTCGGTGATAAAAGTGAAGGAAAAAATAACATGTTAAATTGGCAACATTGCAGAGACCAGGACCTAGTCCTCAAGCCACTGGCTTGTCTGCATGTAGACGTCGACGAAACAGGGTTTCACGCATGTAAACTAAGCACTGGTCTGGTTTGGACGGAGGTGTGTTCGTTGCCGAGAGCGATGTGCGAATTCCTCCGAAATGGGGCACACTTGATCTTTAGCTGTCTGTCTAGGGTAGACGGATTGCAAGTCCCAGGGCAGTGGGGGCATTTTTAATGCCTC